CAGCGCAATAAACACCTCCCTATCCAACAAACCTTATACACCCTTTAATATGACTCATAACTACAACACCATCACAACAGCCTACAATCCACAGTATAATAATATATTATATATTATATATATATATGTGTCTGCACATGTGACGTGATGACCTGATTCCGATGTGAGTTCTAGTCGTGAGTCTTACACGATGTTGACTCCGTGTTTGTTGTGTAAGATGTCAAGTGTTTTGATGTCGTGTTATTGTGGGGTTGCTGTGTTGTGTTTGTGTTGTGTGTGTGTGTGTTGTGTGTTGTGTGTGTGTGTGTGTGTGTGTGTGTGTGTGTGTGTATTCAGTGCAGCACAACACACACACACCACACACACACACACACACACACACACACACACACACACACACACACACAACACACACATATACACGTATATACATACAGGTAAATATACATATGTAAATATATATTCATATATGCATATGTCATATGTATGTAGAAATCCAGACCTGGATGAGCCACTTCGCAAAATAGGCACGTACTTACCGGTACTATAGCCGTAGCAATCGAATTTTAAGTACTTCCAGAGTCACAGGAAGGGCCTAGTGGTACACCCAAGTAAAGTAGATTCTGTGATTTGTGTTTTTTGTCACTACATCCATTCAACTCGATTTAGGCTTTATATAATCCACGACATATATAGATCTTATACATAGGACGCCAAAGGGGAACTATTAGGAGGTCTAAAAAGGCTACAACAAGGGTCGACGGGTAAGAATAGAAAGACTAAGGGGGCATCATTGGTAGGGTCGAAGGGGTATGTCTGAAGCAACCAAAGGGGTACATTTGAAACTACTGAAGGGGCACGTCTGAAACTACTGAAGGGGCACGTCTGAAACTACTGAAGGGGCACTTTTAAAACTACTGAAGGGGGCACGTCTGAAACCTACTGGCTGAAGGGGCACGTCTGAAAACTACTGAAGGGGCACGTCTGAAACTAACTGGGCACGTCTGAAACTACGGAAGGGCACGTCTAAGAACTACTGAAGGGCACGTCTGAAACGACGGAAGGGGCACGTCTAAGACTACTGAAGGGCACGTCTGAAACTACTGAAGGGGCACGTCTGAAACTTACCGAGGGGCACGTCTGAAGCAACCAAAGGGGTACATTTGAAACTACTGAAGGGGGCATGTCCTGAAACGACGGAAGGGCACGTGCCACTACTGAAAACTACTGAAGGGGCACGTCTGAAACTCTGAGGGTGGACACTTTTAAAACTACCGAGGGAGCTCATTTGAAACAACCGAAGGAGGTAGGAAAATTTTTTTTTTCTAACATTAACGAATCTGAGAAGAAAACTATGCTTGTTTTAGTGTTCGATAGAAATACAAATAATCTGCAGCTGATTTGCTTCTCATCCATTTTGAAATTACTGACGGTTTTCAATTCAGCGGTAAATAGTTTTCGGAATATCTCCATTTCTATTACGTTATCACTTATCCTATCTTATTTATTCTTCCTCCTTTTTACTATCATTACGAATCGATTGTCAGGTGTCGATTGGCTTAGAGAAGGAGCAAGTGGGCCTCGATTTGTCTTTAAAGAAAAATGCCGTGAATAACAATTGTGCCTCAAATGAAGAAAACAAATAATCAACCTCGTCATTTTACGGCATCTAAAAACCCTTAAAAACTTAATAAAGGGAAAAAATATATATTATTATATATTTACCAGAAAGTCCAATGAAAACAAATAAGAAAAATGAAAAAAAAATCAAACTAAAATAATACATTAAAAAAACATATATATAAAAAAAATAATAATGATAAAAAAAGGAAAACTAAAACCAAAACTACACAAACCTAACTAAAACAACAACAGCAACAACAAATAAAGTGTATTAACAAAACACCATAGATACAATAAATCTCACACGCTTCCGAAAATTCATCACGAACGGTAACTCCTTTGCCCGATAACCGAGTATAGATTTCATGTACGTGCGTTGTGATATCCAC